GTTAGTATGCCTTGACCCCCTCATGTTTCTGAAAACCACGCTTTAACTTTTCATTGCTCTGCCAGTCCTTATTTGAATTCTCAGTGATTAAGTCTGCTGTTATCTCTTTGGGGCTCTAATTCTGGGACTTCAGACCCAATGTTCGAGTATTTGGCTCACCCTTACTAATATCTTAGGTTACCTCTCTTCCATCCACTTTTTGTCTGAGGCGTTTTGTTGTTCTCCTGACAATTTTTTTTTTGGTATCTTGGGTCAGCCTTGGTGAGGCTCACTTTGTTTGCCCTTTCCCTGCATACCTGGCTCATATTTTGTTGCAAATTTTGGGGAGGAGCTCACCTCCTCCATCTTCACTCAGGAACTTACATACTGCTCCATTATTACATGACACTGTTTTGGGGGGCCATGGTGATTCTTTAGAGTCCTGGGTGGATGACACCAGGTTGTATAATTTCCTGTCTTCTTTGGCCAATTGTTTATCCCAACCTTTCTGTTCTCCTGGTCCTCCCAAGTCCACACCTCATCCTTTACCCTTGTTTCATTGTTCTTGTCGTTTTCCTGTACTTGTGATAAATATCAGCAGCAATATCAATGACTGCCTAGTGGGGCCGGGCTCCACTCTTTTGTGGATGTTTGAAAGACCTTTACAGATCAGTGGGGTCTACAGTTTTTAACTAAAAGGTTTCTCTCTTCACTTCAGGTCTCCTTATCCCCTTTCTTCACCTCTCATTCCTTTCCCTTCTCCATGAAATCTGGTTTCCTGTATTCATCTGTCTAAGGCTGTGAGAGAGCTTCTTCTCAAAGATGCTATAGATCCCATAGTTCTAGTTTGACTGGGTTTTTACTCTCTCCCCCAAGAAAACTTTGAATTGAAGACCTCTCATTGACCTTTCCTCTCTCAGTCAGGTTTTGGATCCCACTTGTTTCACCATGGAGTCTTTTCTGTCCTTTCATTGGGTTTTCACTCCAGATCTATGGATGACCAAGATTGTTGTGATAGATGCATATCTTCATGTTCCCACATCTCCCTCCTCACATCATTTTCTTTAGTTTATTCACGAGTACGAGTTCCAGTTCCGGGCTCTTCCATTCGGAATTACCTCAGCTCCTTACATGTTTTTTGAGGATTCAAGGCCTATGCTCAACACCTCCATTCATTTGGACACTGGTCTTTCACCCACACTTGTTTCTGCCTCAAGGTGGAGAAATCTGTTATTCTCCCTACTCAGTATTTAGTTCATTTGGGAATTTTCTTCAGTTCCAGTCTGTTGGGCCCAGCCTTCTCCACTTTGTCTTTGGAGCTGTTAGTCCTCAAGGCCCTATCACCTTCTTCACTGTTGGCTTGAAAGGTTCTATCTTTTCTGGAGACGTGGGCTTCCTGGGAAGCTCTCACTCCCCTTCGTCATGCTCACATGTGTTCTCTTCAGTGGGAATTCCACAATCCTTAGAATTTCCTCCTAGATCTTTAAATCTTCCAGTTGTCCTTCATGCTTCCCTGTGGTCCAATCTTATTTAGTAGTTGGATACAGACAAAATTATGGTTGCTGTTCCTTTTCCACCTCCTTGTCCAGAGTTGTATTTTTTCACAGGTGTTTCTCTCAATGCACAGGAGATTTCCAAGACTACATGTCAATCTTCTGGAGCTCTTGGCACTTCATGTCTCATTTTCTTCATCTTCTGTGGAGGTAGGTAGTTATGGTGCATTTCGACAACTCTGCGATGGTCTCCTACATCACCAAGCAAGGGGGTAACAAATCCAAATCCCTTTTTTTCAGATGCTGGAACTTCTACTCTGGGCCTACAAACACCGGATACAGTTATTAGTTTGCCATATTCTAGGTGCATTAAATTTGGTGGTAGATTGGTTGTCATGTCCACACAAAGTCCTTCCCGCAGAGTAGTAGTTCCTAGATCCTCAGGTTTTACAGTGGTTGTGCTCTCATCTGAGTACACCACACATCGATGCATTTGCCACTCATCGCAACACTAACCTGCCATTCTTGTGGTCCCTGGTTTTTCATCCTTATGCATAGGGAGTTGATGCTTACAGCCAGTATTTGAGAAGCCTTCTCTCCTATACGTCTCAACCTCAAAGTTATCTTCCTTATCCACATCACTGTGTCAAGTTATTTTAGTGGCTCCATATTGGCTGGCTGAACCTTGGTTTCCTCTTCTGGTTCCACCACAGATGTCATCACCTCAGCTCCTACCTCTGTCTCCATTGCTCTTTGATCAATCTTATTTGGACATCTTGCATTCTGTCATTCCCATCCTCAGGCTTCACACATGGCTTTTGTTAGGTTCCTTGCACTTGACACCTGGGACTGACACCATGTGTTGTTTCTCTTTTTTTCTGTTCATCTATGTTGTTGGTCTACCAATACTGTTGGTCTACTTTTCGTCATTGGTCTATCTGGCATGGCTTCCATCCTACCGCTCCTCAACTTTCCTGGTTTTTTTGTCTGGCTCTTTGATCAGACCTTTTGTTTTTGACTGTTTGTGGCTTCCTTGTCAAGCACATTTAATTTTACTAGGTTCCGTCAGGTTTTTTCCTCTCCCGTCCTCTTCTTCCTGTTCTGGTCTTTTTGTCTTATTCATCTTCATTATGTTTTTCTGTTCTTGATTGGGATCTCAGTGTCATCCTTTTTTCACTTTCACAAGTTCTCTTTGAACCTTTGAATTCCTGTTCCTTGTAACTCCTTTCCCTTAAGACCTTTTTTTTTTTCTGCTGGCTAATATTCGGCATCAGTCTGACCCATTTTGCCATTGACAACTCCCATACCCTTTATCACAGTACCTGTTGTGCTCTAATCAGACCATTCCTTCTTTCCCAAAACCTCTGTTGCCTGGAAGGTCAAATCTGCTTTCACTCCCGTCTCCATCCCCTCCCTTTTTCCATCTTTATTCCCAATAAAATTCTGATCACCTCCTGTATCCTTTGCAGACTTTATGGTGCTATGTTGATCATATGTCTTCCTTCACATCCTACTCGTACTACCAGGTGCATGTGGATTCTTCCAGGCTTTTGTGTTTCAGTGGGTCTTGTTCTTTTCCTGCTCATAATATTGGCTACATGATTATTCCTTGTTCTTATGGTTGAGCTGAGACTCAGACACTGCCCCATAATTCTAAGTTTGGTTTGGTGTACGTCCTGACTCCTACGATTGATGTGGAAGTTTCTCCGGGGACTGCCATTTGGTTACTTCCTCATTATAATTCTGGTTGCTTTCAGTATATTACTCTATTTACTTGCTGTTGGAGTCAGTATATATTTTGTTCACTGTCCACTCGCCCTGGCCACAATCCATTCTATGGATTGTTTTTGGTTTTTCAGCACTGTCCCCTGCCTAGTAATATCAAGGACTAGAAGTGAAACCTTGTCTGTCCAGTCTGTAAGAAAATGATAACCTTCATCTGAAAATTTTCAGCTTTAATTGGCATGATCTGTAAAAGCTTTATATGTTATCTGTTATTTTCTTAACTCTAACTCTATATGAGGTTGGTCAAATGTGTAGTTTATTTTACCCTATCGATTTACATAATGCACAGGCTACTCATGAGCTGCTTGTGAGTGTACCTCACAAAAAATTATTTTTGTTGTTGTTGTTATTATTTACTTTACCTAATCCAACATTATCTAACATAAGTAAAAGTTTTTAATTTTTACATTTTAGTTAGTTTTATAGTAATAGATAAAGAATACACATGAAAAACAAGAAATAAAGTACATAACTGTGTCTTTTTCTTTTTTGCTGTCATCTGTCGATGATAATTAACCCCAAAAGTTTCATACTAGTGGTAGTACTGTACTAAATAATTCTTGTTCATTTAAATAATGAACTAGAGAACAAAGAACAATAAAATGCAAAAAGCAGACAATGTCCCAGAATAATCAAAATTTTTCTAACTTTCTAGCGTGCGACAAGAGTCGTTAAGATATTCGGCTAAGCTCGTCAGTGTGTTTCCCTTGAACTGGAAGGAAAATTGACAATTCTCTGAACAAAAAACAACTCAATATAATATGTCATTTGATAGATCAAAACCTTGGCTCTCTATTGGTTATAAATAATATAATATTAAATGTCAGAGAGAACTATTGGTAATTTCTGAAAGAGGGGTGGGTGCGGTAAGCAGGTCTCATTTTCTAGTTTATGACTGAAGCCAAATAAGTTTCGAGGCTATAAAAAATATGCTTTGCCTGAGCAATACCCATATTATAATGAGTAATTTACAATGAATTTCATACTTCTCAGATAGGTGGTAAATAAATTAAAGAAGGAAGAAGACAGATAACAAACATCACACTATGGGAGATTAAGGATTTTCTAAATATTTATTTTTAAAATTAAGAACTTAGAACTTAAATAATATTAAAGTTTTGTTTATTAACTACATTTTTATGGCAAGTTTATTTGTATACATTGATTATAAAGTAGTTTAATTGAATTTTGAATGTAACTCTGTAAACGGTTGTAACATATGTACTTTAACTTACCAGATACAAAAGGGTTAATTGATTTTGTTTTAACCACAAAATGTTTTAATATTTTGCATAGAATTGTATATCTTCAATTTAAATAAAAAAAAAAGAAATTGATGCAGCTACTCAGCCAAATCTATGGAGTAAACTTTGAGTTCATAGAAATCCAAAGGTTAATGTAAAGAGAAAAAATAAATTTATAGGTTAATCACAGAAAGGGGAAAAAATGGATTACATGCCATACATAATATATAAAGTTGATCTATTAGCGTGTTTTGATTTTATTTCTTTAGAGAAAGAGGGTTGATGATTTGCCCTCCTCCAGCTTTACACTGTAATTGTAGTCTTGAAATATTTCAAAAGAATGTTTTCAGATATGTCTGTGTATTCTTGAAAATATGAAGAATGCTTTTTTTTTAATCCCCTGATAGCTATTATAATACAATTATTAGATTGCATAAAGATGTTCAACGCTGAGAATTGTTCACTGTTTGTGTGTGTATATATATGCTACATCAGGATGCTGGGTTGGAAGCAAGCTTGATGGCATTTCAGGATCAAGGTGCACAGAAACCCAAAAAGATCCAAATATAACATTACTGTTTTGCTGCTGCGAAGGTGATATGTGCAACGAGAATATGACTACCGTTTACCTTCCAGGTGTATTAACCACAGAGTCTGGTATGTACAAAAATTTATTTATTTTTCAATTTATACAGGAGTAAATGTGGGCATGAGTTGTGTACTAGATCAATGTGGCAGGTTTGGTTAAAATAAAGTGACTAGGCCTCAGTTGATACTGCCCTGAACATTTTCATGTTAAATGATAGTCCAATATTCAAGTTGTGTGTGTGTGTTTAAAAAATTAAATTCAAACAACTTGAGAAGTTTCAGCCTTTAGTTCAAGAGGCAAGGACATTTTTCCACTTTACTTTTATCAATTTAAAAATACAACCCTGTCATAAGGTAATTTTGTTTGTTCTGAAACTATTAATGACTCTTCAAAAGCTTTTCACTGTTACATTGAACATCTCAAAATATGTTGTACTTTTCTTTACACATGCCAGTTAGCACATGTTTTTGAATGTCCTCATTATGTTTGCTTGTATACTGTGAGTGAACTTGTAGTTTTTTTAATTCCTGAATGGCTGTAGCCATTTTGAAACAGAATTAATAACTTAGGATTGGCCCAGCATGGCCAGGTGGTTAGGGCTCTCGACTCGCAATCTGAGGGTTGCAGGTTCGGATCCCTGTCCCACTAAACATGCTTGCCCTTTCAGCTGTGGGACATTATAATGTTACAGTCAATCCCACTATTCGTTGGTAAAAGAGTAGCCCAAAGTTGGCTGTGGCTGGTGATGACTAGCTGCCCTCTCTCTAGTCTTATACTGCTAAATTAGGGACGGTTACTGCAGATAGCTCTCGTGTAGCTTTGCGCAAAATTCAAAACAAACAAACTTAGGATTGGTATGAATTTTTAGAAACACAGAAAATACTCTATATTAAAATCTTGCAAATTGAGTTTGTGATATTAGTTAGGTTGTTCTGTATAGCGTGTAATATTTTGGCTTTATAAGTTCAGGAAACTATTGTGTTTTGTAATTCATACGATTTGTTTCAAATTATATATTCCAATTTGTCTAGTAAGTGACAGTTTTATAGTTTGGAATGAATAGCTATGATTTTTCTCTAATGAAGAATGATGTTAAGCTTGTGATGAAAATTTTGAAAGAAGATATTATAGTTCAAAAAAAAACAATTGAGAAATAAAAAAAATGTTTTAGAAATATTTTAGTTAAATAAACAGATCTTTTCCTGTAAGTATGTAGTAAGCTACTGCTTAAGAATCTAACGTGTAAAATTGTTTGAACAAACCTTAAATTAAGAGATTATTTACTTCTGTTTAATTGAGATCAGATATGTTTTTTCCAAATGTTGTTTAACCCTATAAGAACAAAGCTGGTCAGTTTCACCAACCTTGGAACTATGAAACTATACGTACTATAACTCTGAATTTACTAAATGTATTTTCAGGAAACTTTGCAAGGTTTTAGTAAACATTAAAAGTCTGTTGTTCATAAAAAAGATTTTATAGTACAGTATTTCTACTAAAGGTTTCTCTCTAAATTTTTGAAGCCTTTACTAAGTCATTGTGAGTGAAAGTGATTTTAATAATCAGAATAAAAATACTTGTATTTTCATATAAGAGTTTTCATACTTCATTTGCATAAACCAGAACCTACTGAATGAATATAAAAGGATTTATATTTTATTTTTTATTTTCTTAACACTAACTGTACAGAGATCATCTATGTTCTGTGGAATGAAAAGTTGAAAATATGAAACAAAATTACTGCACTGATCAAAAAGCTCCAAGTTATTTATCTGAACAATTTCAACTGTTCAACTCTGTGTCATTTTAATTTCATGGTTTTGTTGTTGTACTTTGTAACCAGTGTAGTAGTAGTCCTTGTATCAAAAGCAATCAATCACAGCAGGAGCCCACTAGCTGGTTCCGAAAGAGCTAATATAAACAGCAAGTGTCATGTTACACACTCAACTAATGAAATTTATTGAAGGTTTGTTAAGGTAAACTGATAGGTTTATAATTTTTACTTTTTGGTTATTTTTGTTACAAAATATGCAACAATAAATGAAAAATATATTTGCAAAAAACAGGATTTGTAGTATTCACTGCATACTCAGGCCATTTGCACTCCTCTAAGTCTTGTCGAGTTTCACAGATTTTGGTAAACAAAATTTTCTAAACACATTCATGCAGCTTTCAAGTATGTATTTTGGAACACAAAAATATATCAATCACTAAAATAGAATGTTCCAAAAGTACTATAAGCTATCCAGTTTTTTACATAAGCTTAAATAGGTTAAAAAGTTTGTTTCTGTTTGGAGCACCAAATCTGATGAACGAATACCAAACAGTTCTCATCAGCTTATGACAGGGAAACAGAATTGTAAGATTTATGTAAAAGATAAACTTCTTTTTCTATTCATTATAAACATGTCCATCAGCCATGTATGGTTGATTAGTAATTAACCTCAAAGTTCTAAGAGAGAGGGGGGGGGAGACTTTTTTTGTTGGGTTTGAATAATTTATTGAGATCTTAGCAAAACAAGAAGGTAAGAGGTTGAAATGCTAGATTCTTGCTTATAATTTTGTATTTCTAATTGGTTGTAAACTGCAGCAGCCAATTTTTTCGTCTTAGAAAATTCTGGAATGGAGAAATTTGAGCTTGAAAATATCACATCATAGAGAAGAATGAAGATTAAGATTTTTTTAAATTGATTTGAAAATTAAGAAGTTAAAACTTTGATAATATAAAAATTTGAAGTAGAAACTATGCTTCCTTGCCAAACTTGTTGACATACATTGATAATTAAGTTTTGTAATGAAATTTTTAATTTAATACTTTAAAAGGTCATGACATGCACACTTTAATCCAATGGTATGGAAAGAGTTAATCATAATTCAGGTTATGTGTAAAACAATTCTGTACTTCACTGTAATTATTTTATGATAAACAGCTTGATTTTTGTGTTTTGTCATAATCTTAAATCTTATATTATTTTAGATTTTATTATGCTCTGTTAGTGTCAAATATACATGAATAGCTAAAAAAAATAATTTCCTTTTTATTACAACGTGAATGTTTACTTATCATTAAATCTAGCTCTATATTCTATTTGGACAATGTAAAGCACTGGGTAATTTTTACAATATAATTCATAAGCTACACTTGAGATAGAAGAAATATCTGTAGGGTTCTTGGAAAGTGTTAGTAACAGTTTTTGTTTTTTATTTCATTTATGAACAAAGTGGACTTTAAAGATTATAAAGTATGTATACATACAAGTGTAGGTGGGTTTATAATGCATCATAAAATGAAGTTTTTGGTTTCTTTTAGGTTATGAAAACATTAAAAAAAAGAAAAGAAGATAGAGCTTTGGAAGTTTTTTTTATTATTATTATTATTTTAAAACATTTTGCCAGAACGTGGCTCTCGGGTTTGTAAAATTCAAAAAAATATTGAACCAAATTCTTTCATATTGAGAAAAACATTCAAAATCCTATATATCTTTTGTAAAAAATATATTTTAATATGGCACTTAATATTTATATAGCTTCTTAACTGTGAAAATTCTTCTGTACAGAGCCATTCATCACTAGGCTTACACATATAATCCTGTTTTATTCAAGATATATCTTTATCTTCTAAAATGTAAACCAGATCTTGCTGTAATATATAAAAACGATAAAACAAATAGGCCATAATTTAGGTCTAACTCCCTTAAAAACATGTTTTTTTATCCAGCAATATTATCACCATACTGAACACCAGAAGATTTGCTGGTTTGCCAGTTCTTCTAATAATGAGTAGGTTAAAACAGTAAAATAATAATTAATATTAATGGTGTTAAATAAGTAATATAGTGTTAGAAAATTCTTACCCTAATTCTGATTTGTAGTAACTGATTTCACTGTTTGTATGACATCACAAATGATTAATTTTATTTATTTATTTTTTTACTTTCAGCAGTGGAATACAGTACTAATGTTCCTGTTCCACTTCTTAATGAAGGAAATCCAGTACTTAATACACTGTTGTACACACTTGTGCCATTACTAGCAGTTACTCTTGTTCTCATTGCTTCTTACTGGTTGTATAGACACCATAAAATGACTTACTTCAATGAAATTCCCATTACTGATCTTTCTCCTCCTTCACCTTTTCCCCGCCTCAAGCCTGTGCAGCTCTTAGAAATTAAGGCTCAGGGACGTTTTGGTGCTGTTTGGAAAGCTCAGTTGATAAATGAATTTGTTGCTGTGAAGATATTCCCTCCACAGGTAAATGTTGCTTCATGATCAGTTCAAAAACTATTTGTACATTTTGTATTTGAATTTATTTATAGTGTAAGTGGTATATCACATTGATATACCTCGTGTGAAAGTATGAAGTTATTTGACAAAAAATTTGTAATGGTGCATTAACCATCAGTTCAAATTGATCAACCCCGGATATGTAAAGTTATTTATAATAATTAATGTTTACTATAATTCGGAATTTACTATGTGTATCTTCACAAAGTTTGGCAAGTTTTTAATAAATATACAAAAGAATAAAGTATAAGTATACAAAAGTCACTTTCTAACAAAGTATTTTTACTAAACATTGGTCTGTGGATTTCCAAAATCTTTACTGAATCAGTCTGAGAGAAAGAAGATTTTCATGTTAAGAATAAAAACACTTTTCATCATATAGATTTCTTATTTCATTAAAATAACCTCCTAAATGATTATCAAGTCTTTTATATTTTATTTTATCTCTTATTTTCTCTATCCCAACACATATGTGCAGTGAAATCAATATTGTACAGTGAAATGAAAAGTTGAAAAATATGAATTCAAGTTAATAATATCATCTTTTCTTCTGCACTGACTACAGTATTGATTAAAAGGTTCAAAGTTACTTAGCTGATTTCGTTTATCCTTGAAACTTCATGTTCAGTCTTTCCTGGCCATCTCAGCTGTGGTTTGTGAGGCTTCTCCAGCTCCAACTTCCTCCTCCATTACCTCCATTTCCTCTGTCTCCCTCCTATATTCACCACCCTCAGTCACTGGTGTTTCATCTAGACCTTCTTTTCCTTCATCTTCACCCCTGGTTTTCTTCTGGTCGTTGGAGAGGTGATTCAGCTTTTCCTGATGGATAGTTTCGTTATTGGCTTATTTCATTCACCCTTCCTACATGGAAGTTTCTCAATGCAAATGGAATTTTTCTGCCATTGGTTTTTGAGTCCAGGGTTTTCCCCTGATCAACCTACTGTTCTTCATCATGCAGATTTCTTCTCATGACTTTTGGATTGAGGGTCTTCTGTCTCCTTGGTCTCAGATGTTCGGGCAATCCTGCCCCATACCTTTCGTTTTTCCCACAGATATTTACCTTTCCTACACTTTCCCTGTGCATATGTTCCTTCTGGATTTTTGCCCACCATGATGGGCTGCTCTTCCGGATGGAGATATTAATGTGGTCCTGCAGTGGGTCACTTTGCTTACATTCGATCCACACTCCCAGTGCTCCTTGTTTCATCTTCCCTTATGTCTTCCTTCCTTCCTTCTCCTAATCGCTTGTGGACATCTGTTTATTTGTCATTGATTTTTCTTGTGTACTCTTTTATCTTTATACATGTCTTCTCCTTTCTCAAACTTGTTTTTACTCCCTAACACTTCAGCAGCTTGTGAGGATAACACCTACATTTAGTTGCTTTCCCTTCCTTTCGTTTCACACCTTTATCCTCATCCTGATCTTGATAGACTTCTATATCCTGTAGATGCTCTTCTCTGTTATATTGTCTGCATGGCTTCCTTCTGTGGTGTTCCTTCCCACTTCTTTTTCCCTTGGCAACTGTCCTCTGTTTATGTTCTTTCTCCTTCCTCTTTTTCTAATTGGGTTTGGCTCTTCATTTGATTGGCTTTTTCCTCTTTTTCATCTTCCTCTCGTAGTTTATTCTGAGTATCTTCTCATCCAATTCGACACCTTACCTTTTCATTTGCATTTCATCTTCATCGTCCTTTGGAGGTACTTCTTTGAGCAGGTATGTGGACTACCCAGGATATGTTTGTCTCTCACTATTTGCACTGTATCACAGTTTTTTTTCCTGTTCAGGTTATCATCTGCCACTTGTATACATTCTAGAATATCAGAATTCAGTTTTTGTCTTATTTTTCCTTTTCAGGGACCATTTTCCTCATTATTAATGTTCATTGTTTGGATCCCATTCACTAGCAAGTGGTGCTTGACCAGGTATTTTTTAACTGCTCAAATCCACACTGTCAAGCCATGTCGACTTGCATATTATTATTCCATGCTCATGCAACATGCTGCAAAGATGGCTGTTCCACAAAATCACTGGTAGGTTTATCTTTGCGATAGAATTGCTTCATAAGTTTCCCCTTTCTGGACTGTACCCACCCATGGACTACATGGGTAAAGCAGAAGGGAATAGCTGCCCATCCCTGCCATGCCCTGTATTGAATAAATTGGTAGGATCTGTTTTTAAAAATAGGGTTTTGTGGTCACCCATTACACTGTCTCAGATGTTGTCACTCCTCTGGATTCTCCACCATGTTTTTATCCCTTTTCCTTCCAATAGAGTTTGAAAGTCATTACCATTTTCCAGTTCCAAGCTATTGGAGTGGTGGACCATGAAATGCAAACCATTCAGTTGAATATAGGGCAGTGGTGTTCTGCTGGTATAGATGATGTGATGTCCTCCATTATCAAACATGAAAACAAATGGGAGTGAGACTTCAAAATTGCAGTTCACTACCTCGATTGAGATTCTGCATCCTACCCCGGTTCCGAGTGGCCAGTTTTTGGATTTAGAGTAGAACCAATCAACATAAGTCCTCACACATGTATTACAGATGTCTATATTCCTCCCTCATTTATACTTCATCAGTATTGTAGGTCACAGTGGAAGTAATTGCGAATCATTATGATTATTTCCCTTATTCTATCTCTTGATGTTTCTTATTCATTGTTAATGCTCTTGGGGTGGTTCTGGTCAATTTCACCTTTCATGGAGATTGTTTACATCATGTAGACATCTTTTTGATACTGGATCGATCTATCAATTTATCATATTCACACATGCCCCGTTTATTAGTCGGGGGAGTACAATATTCCTTCTGGTCTCATGAACTTGAGGTAAAGACAGTATGATCCTCTTTCATACCTCACCAGATGGCCAGGTTTTGGAGTGTAGTTGGCTTACCAACAGTATGATCCTCATCCTACTCCTTTATGGATCTTGGTTCCCAGTGGCATGAGTTTTGTATGTAGTTGACTTGCCGTGTAAGGTCCATCATGCCCTAGCCACTCTACACCTATGGGCACATCCTTTTCATTTTACCCACTTTTATAATTTCTGGGATTGAGTTTCATAAATATTGCATAAATATTTGAATCACTTTCCAGCCATAGTTCTCCAAATTGGATGTGCTCCTCTGTTTTCCACCCATATATGTGACATCTTTCTATGATGGGCAAAATGGTGTGGTTCCTCACATCAGATCTTCAAATCTGACTGTCTCATCTTAGGGAGTGTCATTAAGACACTTTTGAAGGATGATTCTTCCTTTCCCTCACACTGGTCCCTTCACCTATTCAATGTGGGCTTATAGCTTTTTATTTAAGTGGAGGTAATGTACTGTATCAAAAGTTATAATTTTCCTACACTAAAAATGTATTTCCAATAGTTACGTGCCTTCTCTCACACTTCCCATCCTTCCTCCCCACTGAAAATTGGTGTTTCCATCTTCTGCCAAAACTTGAAGTAGTAGTTTGGTAAATTGAATAGAGGGAATCACATTCATCATAAAAGTATGATGATTTGCATGAGAAATGCATGAGAGTTAGTCAATTCTGATGGAGGGGAGATAGAAGGCTTGTGGGGTGCGTGTAAATGTTTTTGCATATAGAGGGCAGCAATGAACTACAATAGCTATTTATGTGAGAGGAGGTAACTACCTGTCGGAAATATGTTTTCAGTGTAGGAAAACTATAATTTCTAATGACTACTTGTAGCTTGTAAACCTCAAAGCAAAGTACAGATAGTGGGCATGGCATCTGTTATGGTTTGGCAAAATTTATTCCTTGTTTCTACTGGATTCAATAAAAGGACTTTGAATTATTAGTGTCAGTAGGGCAAGTAAACATAGTTATTGTATTGACATAAATGTACAGGCTGTGGTTTATTCCATTTAATACAGAGGCTGCAAAAGTTGAGATTTTTCTTAACTCGGGAATTATGTGACAAGAAAACTGGAGATTAAGTTGTTTTTAAAGGTTTCTTTTGAAATAAAGGAATTAAACTTAGATAAAGTAAAACTTGGAATTATAACATTCATCATGATGTTAATTTCCTTGACATACATTGATAGTAAAGTTGTTTAATTAAATTTTGAATGTAACTCATTGGCTTGTGCAGAAAGGATTTAAAGTGGTACCTGTTGTGAAAAGGCTAATGGTCTCAACTGTTAACCTTTTCATATCTGTTTTCTTTTAATTTTCAGGTTTTATAGCTGTACTTTGCACCCATTGTAGCAATAACCCATACTTCATAAGCAATAAATTATAGTGGAAGCTCATTAGCTGTTTCCTGTAGAGTTAACATAAACAGCATGAGATTGTGAGATGTGATGTTACACAGATACTTTTACCTGTGAAAATTTAGACATTTTATTCTACTGAAGTTTTGTTAGGCTAAACTAAGATGTTTTTAATGTTTGCATTATAATAAATGTCATTAAAAAATGTATAATAATATATAAAATGTATACATGTAGACAAGACTTTGTGGTATGTACTGTGTACTCTGGTTCCTTTGCACTCTACTAAAAGACTTAGGACTTTCTTCTGTTAGTCTCATTGAGTCTCACAAATTTGGATGTTCAAAAAAGTTAATTTATCTCTCAATATAAGTCATTGGAATAGAATGTTTCAAAAGTATTGTGATTTATCTTGCTTTCTAAGCATGCTATAAATAGGTTAATCAAATTCATATAGCATTCAGAGCAGAAAAATATTAAAACAACAAAGCATAAAATTCTACTGAGTGATGACTTACTGAGAGAAAGGTATAGAATAATTTGTAATATTTATATAAAGGAACAACTACTCTGTTTATTGATTATAAACATCTGCCATGTAGAATTAATTAGCAAACAATTTTGTAAGTCAGAGAGAGGGCTTCCTTGGTGGGTTTGACTAATTTATTAATATATTAACAGGTCAAGAAGGTAGGAGGTTCATATTTTATATTTTTGCTTGTAATTATGTGTATTTC